ACGCACGAAAAATGGCGACATTCGATGACGTTAATTACTACGTACAGGAAAGCAGTTCAGTTTTTTCATCTGTAGCGCACAAGGGAAATGGCAGTTTTCTTAGCAAAATCGTTTTTTTAAATCAAATCCACGGATAGAACAAACAGCTATAGGAATAGCGAGAGACGATGTCAATGTTGACAACCAATATATAAGCCTATGAAGTTGAATGATAGTAAAAATATTAATCATAACTTCAATACAAATCAATATTCACAAGGTCCCAATTGTGCGCGAGACTGGTTCCTGGCTGTCATTTGAAAAATTTAGGGAAGCTCAACTATGTGCATCAGTGAAATTCTTAATTTAAGGGGGAGTTATCCAATTTGTTATTAGCAAAGAGTAAAAGACACTTTGACATTATCATCCGTGTGTCATAAGGCGACACAATATATTATACAAAATCTTATTATTTGTTTATTTATTATGAATATATCATTTTGAAGTTTGGTATGTTTTTTGATGAAAAATGTCCTCAGGAGTAGTAAAAATTTAAGATCACAGTGAGGATTTATAACACTTTACATTTTAGTGCAAAAATATAAATTTTAAAATAAAATACATGTATATGTATTGTGAAAAAAATGAAATAAACTTTTATAGTTTCCATATCATTTTCCAAATTGTAACATTTTATCTTATTTAATGCCAGTCGCCATTTGACGTAGCAGGTTTGCTCTGGAGTCACGGACATGAAGGAATCCATCCTTACGTCGCGGATTCGACTCCCACTGCGGGACATGCCCTTAATTCAGACCCAATTTCGAATTAATTGCTAGCCAGAAGAATATCTCTCGCTGCTAAAAATTTATTCTCAAAAGGGACGTTAAACAAACAAAATCATTCATGCCACCGTCTTTAAGTACTCACAGTACTTTGATTTTACAGTGTTGATTAACTTTGAAATTACATCCTCTTTTTTCCTACAAGGAGGGCAAAGATTCTCTAAAGAAGAAGGTATGGTTTTAGCTTTATTGCGCCCTAAAAATGTAATGACATCAAAAAGCTATCAGGCTGGCTTAAATATTAGATAAATAAATGACTGATAAATCAGGAAAGAATATGGCATGAAGGTTTACCATTCTGCAAAAATGACGTCATAAATGTGAAGCATTTCTCTATTTTCAACAGAAAAAGCCTCAAAATGGCACATTTCAAGGATGATTTTCCTTTAGAAAACAGTGTCCACAGCCGTCTCCCACGTTAATTTTTTTTTATATTTTGTGCTAAATTCAATAACAAATCACATATCTCAAGATCCTTGTAGGCGATGCCTGTGGACAATGTTATCTAAAAGAAAATTCCATTGAAAATTGGTGTCTTCTGCAACTTTTTAAGAAAAAACGGGAAAAAATATATATCGACTTCCTGGTCATTAAACCTCTTAAGATTCAGACTTAACACTACGTAATAAAACATCGTAATTAAGAGAAGTTCATGAACTCGTTTCTTGTTTCGAAAAGAATATTGTTCTTTTGTAACCTAGGCCTGCGTAACAAGAATAAAATGTAATTGATATATTCGTAACAGTAAACCTGTGTTTATGATAATTGTACGTAAAACATCCTTCTTTTTCATAAAATCTGTATTCACAACTAATGCTTTCGCAAACTCGCGACGTATTTAATACATAGAGGACATGACGGGATTTATACAGCTCGTCATTGGAATTGTAATGTAAAAGTCCCTAACCAAAAATTACTTTAGTTACCTAACTTTAATCCACTCCAAACGTCCAAAAATTTTCCCTTTGGTATTTTTCGATGAAATAAGATTTGTAATATATTTTCGTGTGAAATGCTTTTGCAATATATGTCTTATATTATGAACAATTTTAAAAAAAATTAAATTCAAATATGCGTCTTTGCACCTTTAATAAAATTATGCATGATTATTTTAATCATTTTTGTTGTGTTACAACAAATGATTAGTATATTGATGCGTATGTTTATTCCCCGTATAATATACGCATCGATATTTGATTTTTTTTCGAGAACGTTTTTAGGGAATTAACAATTTATTTTCTTGTTCGTTTGACATCTGATCAAAAAAAAAAAAATAGGAGGAGCGGGAAAACCATTAAATAATGGTACTTTATTGAATGAAAAAAGAGGTGGAAGATGAAAATAAATTAAGCGAACAATTATATATTTTCTTCTTTTTTCTGGTTTGCATAGTTGACAGATGTAAAATACAAAATTAATATTTGAAATAGTATTACGAGTGCACTGATCCTGGGCTGAGCCAAAAAATAAAATCGGTGTGCCCTTCGTAATATATTTTGAATAGATAATGGGCTATTATTATTAAAGGTGACCATGCAGTATCAATTTTGCTGTTTTGATGAATCAAATCTGAATTAATTTTCTAGATTAAAAAAAGAACACTGGCATGAACTATCTCCTACAGATAAAAATCTTACATCGTTTATTTGTGTGATACAATGTAGCATTAAGAATTGTTTATTTTGAATGATGTTAGGGTTAATTTTTTTCCGTAAAATTCAAGTCTTATTCCTTCAAAGGATTAACTCCTCTGCGTAATTACCTATTTTAAAGGGAATATAACAAGTATGTTTTCATCATTTAATGTAATTCAATTCGGGTCACCAAAATTCTTAACATAAGTAAAACGTTATAACTTTCTAATAACAATTTAAAGTCGCACATTATTCTTAAGGACAGACGACACGTTCCTCAAATATATAAAGAATTATACGATAAAGCTACTAAAGCTATGTATGGTGTTATTGGTAGATGTAGAAAACATAACTTAGCAATTGATTGAAAATTAGACATGTTTGATAAAATTGTCAAACCAATACTCTTATATGGGTGCGAAATATGGGGTTTTCACAATACTAAACTGATAGAGAAATTACACCTAAAATTTTGTAAACATATTCTGAGCCTGAAAACATCAACACCAAACTTTATGGTGTATAGAGAACTTGGTAGACACCCTTTATTAATTGATATCAAAGTTAGAATGATCTCATTTTGGGGTAAACTCATTAATGCTCAGTACTCTAAATTATCAGCAAAGCTTTTATGTGCATTGAAATTATATAAGAATCCATGGTGTGACTTTATACAGAAAATTTTAAATGAATGTGGATTGACTTATGTTTGTTATGAAAATTCAATTAATATATCTTGGCTTAAAAATAAAGTATATACCACTCTTTTAGGTCAGTTTAAACAAACATGATTTAGTGAAGTGCAAACTTCCCCTAAAGGTTTGAACTATAGAATCTTTAAAAAATCATTAGTTTTTGAAGACTATTTGTTGAATTTGCCTCCAAAACAATCCAAGAAATATTCTTTATTTAGAACTTGGAATGCAAAATTACCAATTGAAACTGGTAGTTGGTTTAACATCCCTAGAGAAAACAGAATTTGTAAATTATGTAATAGCAGTGACATTGGGGATGAATTTCACTACTTATTTAAATGCACTGATGTGTCTATAAAGAACTCAAGAGTCATGTATTTGTCAAAATATTTTTATTTGAATCCAAATATTTTGAAATTTGAAATGCTTTTTAATGTAACCAATACTTATCAACTCTGCAAGATTTGTAAATTGTTAAAAATTATAATTGAGAGAGTTAGCTCTCTTGGTTGATATTACTCTGTTATCTTTTCTTCATGCATGTAATATTTCATGTTCATTGTACTGTATATATCTTCTCTTCACTGTTTTGTCAGTTATGAGAATAAAGTTCAAGTTCAAGTTCAAGTAATACATTACGAACAAAATTCTTTGATGACAATTAAAGTAGGGCCATTGATAACGAATTAATTACATAATGTTTGCATACGTGATTCAAGAATGTATTAACCCTCACCTATATCCACTTTAAGAAACGTTAACAAAAAAAATCTCGAGAGAATAGACAGAATAGTTGTGAAGAGAATCGGCTTTAAAAACAAACATGAAAATGCTGCACTAGTAGCTGAAGCTAGGACATTCATCGTCCATTACTCTTTTTATAAGTAATGTTTTCTACACTTATGTTTAAACAATTTGAATTTTGGTTACGTCCTAAATTTGCATATTCAACAATAAATAAATAAAATAAATTACATAATATTTTTCTTATATTTATTAATGTAGTTATTTACTGTGTTAAATCCTTTTATGTGTTATATCTGTACAACCGATTTGTGTGTAAGGTTCAAAAACACAGGTTAGACGCAAGTGGCTTATTGATATAAATCGAACGATCTATTAGTATAAATTAATACCTCTATTGTGAAAGTGGAATATGTTATTTAACGTGAGAAAGGTAAGGAGAAAATACATCAAAACAAAAGTACATGTATTAACATTTTACATCATTAAAAATGAACGGAGATAAAAAAAAAAAAAACAACAGTGAATTACACACAGTCATATATATGTAGGTCCCAATTACAATTACCTAAGGTCTGGCTACAATAGCTTTAAATAAAGAGATGTGTTAAACCTGCACATAAGGCTCCTGACACCATATTCAGGTATGATGCAAAGTGCTCCTCAGACATTTTGATATTTGTTTCTTTGGAAAATTTTGGGAAATTTTTTTTCTAAAATAGAAGAATAATGGAACCGAAAAGCTTTTTTTCCCTCACAAATGTAAAACCCCAATAGATTTCCTTCAGAAAGCTTTCCTAGTCAAATCATTTTAAAAAACAGACGCAATATAAAATGTTAATTAAAATCAATTTTAATATCAACCCATGCTAAAACTTTCGGGGAATTTCTCTTTTTTTTACGTTAAAGAAGGATTTCTGCAACAATGAGGCATTTCCTTATATGGTCTTCAATCTGAATTCAGACAAACAATATTAAGGAAATATCTACTTAGAAATTGTATAGAAATTCAAAACTAAGGGAGAACTATAGCAAGAACCAATCAAATTTGACTCCTATAATCAGGGTATAAAAGGAATGCATCTTCCACCCACCAAAACTTTTTGTCTCTTCACATTGTTTTGAGAAGAAATTGCTGTCTCTTTCTACAGGTAAATTCCCCGTTCTCTTTTTTAATTGCTGGTTTGATGCTTTTAATGTGTATGATAAAATCATTGAATGTGTTTTTATTTCTTTTATACTACGGTGAGGGGAAGGAGATTTAAATATCGTGTTCTGTTACATATGTCTTTTCTTGATGTGTCCTTTTTTATCTGTATGAAAAAAAATTGAAGAATTAGAATATATCTTCATTTCATCGCATTCCAACGACATTTACCATATTGACGGAGACTTACAACGTTGTTATGTAAAGAGTAACAATATCTGAATGACCTTGTGTCATCTTAGGATGAAAATATACATGTCTCCTCCTCCTTCTTTATTCTTAAAAAAAAGAATACAATCATAATCTTTTTGTTAATTATTATTTTAGGCAAACTCCTAAAAATAATGTTTGCTTGCCCTCCTCCGACTCAGGGTAAAACTAGGGCACCGCTAACCGGAGCATCCCCTCGCGACAGGAACTTCACTGGTAATGGCAATATCTCATGGGAGATAAATTCTCTAGAGGGACATGTTAAAGACTGATAGTGCAACGTATTTGTTAATTGTACTTCTCAGGAATTTTTTACTCATGCGAAGGCTTGCCGGTGGAGAGCAGCCCATTTTTTTCCCTATAATAGGCACTGACGGCCATTGAGCAGTGAGGGATCTTTTTGTGCCAGCATCTATAGGGACATGGGCCATTGGTTTACACGGTCTCATTCGAAGGACCAGTCTCCACATATTTAAGATTTATAGTACAACGTATTTGTTAAATGTACTTGTCAGGAATTTTTTGCTCATACGAAGGCTTGCCGGTGGAGAGCAGCCCATTTTTCCCCCTATAATAGGCACTGACGGCCATAGAGCAGTGAGCTAGGGATCTTTTGGTGCCAGCATCTATAGGGACATGGGCCATTGGTTTACACGGTCTCATTCGAAGGACCAGTCTCCACATCCCACATTGGGATTTGAACTCGCAAGGTTAGGATCAACTCCCTTACTTTTGACAAAATTATTGCGGGGGGTTGTTGTTGTTGTTGTTGTTGATCCATTTTTTACAAAATGCAAAGTGCATAGCGTCTTGGTTAGGGTGGGGACATAGCATGGATACCTAATTTGCCGTAGTAAAGTTTAAAGTAAGATGAAGAAAATAAAATGTTTTTCAGCACTATTTATTTTTCAAGAAAATTATCGTGGGTGGGGGTGTCTATTTTTAACAAAATTCAAATTGCATTGCATATTAGTGGGGAGGGGGAGGCATAAGATACATACGTAATTGGGCAGTTTCCCTTATACCTAGCAGAAACATATCACGTATGCTAGATGTATAAGTTTCAGTAATTTACCTACCTAAGTATATCTCACAGTTTTAAGCAATATGCATTTTTTTTTCGTAATGAAAAATAACAATGTACATGTACATCGAAAGGTCAATTGAACTTGTGGATTGTATTTACAACTTTCAGAAACAACGTGCACCCCAAATTCCCAGACATCTGTTGGAATTTGGTAATGAATTTGAAACCGCGACGTTCCTCAAATTATTTCAATTACTTAGCGTCCGAGATGACATGTTAATTCATACAGACTTTTTTTCAAAATACGCTCAATAATATGACAATGCGCAAATACATCTACGAAGTATAACTTACTAAGCGAGTCTATCCGAATTTATTTACCAGGTTGATAAAACGGGATATTGTATTTGTCAATTGTAAATAAAACTTCAGTTTATTGAAGCAACCCGAATTAGCGGAAGTAAGTATTGTCAAGTCGTACATTAAATTTCAGGGTTAGAATGTAGTAAAAAACGCTATATTTTAAGAAATATTTCATCTAATAATTTGAAAATGAATAGACTTCGTCCTTTTATAATGCCACACAAGTATGTAAAGGCTGAGAGTGGTTGATGCAAAGGTTCTCTGTAATCTTGCCCACAAGCTGTAACTAACACACACACATACGCACATTCGCGATGCTCGTATATCCCCTCCGCAACTAGTTGCGATAATTATTGGGTCGGTAGTACTGACACAATAATTTTACCCTGAGTCGGGGGAGGGTAGTTGGGTGGGAAAATATTTTTTAAACATATATGTATGCGGGATAAAAAGAACGAAAAGAAAAAAAAATCGTGTCCTTCAATGAATTGATTGAATATTGTTTCATGCCGATTTGGCAATTTTTAGCCAGGTTTCGACGGACTATTACTTTAGATAATCGATTTTTGAAAATAAGTCGGTATGGACAGCACAAACAATTTTTAAAGATGGCCTAATAAAGAGTTTTCAAGAACTAATTCTCTATTTAAATGCATTTCCTTTAAAAAAAAACCTTCAATACTGCATTCATTTCGACTTGTATCTGATAAAATTTCTCAATTACTCGTTTTACTCTCTATTTTTCGTGCATACCGGTGAAGCAAAAGGAATTACGCGTCAAGTACTTCCACCAGACAAATATGTTGAATCTCGTAAATGTTGCGTAATATATTATTTTATAGAGTAAATTAATTAATCTGACATTAAATCTAATCATTAATATTGGTAGATTTAATTTTACACACTCTATACAAAGAAAATACGCGATCCCTGCTTAAAAGATGTACATGTTTCCTGTAATTATACCTTTTTATTTGCGCTGTGAAATCATATAAATTTTATCTATTACGATATTTTTTCTGACTTGAAATAGGTGGTTCTAATCATATCCTATGCATTCATATCAAAAACCACAATATTGCGAATTTTTTTAATCAACAATAGGTTTAATAGGTCAGTAACTAAAAATTTGAAATGGCATAAACATCGCGCTTAATGTCAAAGCGTTCAAGTCGGTTAAGCTACATTTATATGTTTTGTTTTTGTTTTGTTTTGTTTGTTTGTTTTTTTTTTCGTAAACGCCAATAAAGACGGATGTTTATTTCAATATCAAATTGAATTAAAAAAAAAAGTTGAGTGAATTATCTTTTTTTCTCAATGTTGCAGTGTTTATTTTCAAGACGAAAACGAAAACATGTTACATTATTAATTCATAAAATAATGTAATAAATTTGTTAAAGTTGTAATTATGTTCCCCAAACGAAGTTGGGGAACATATTGTTTTTACTCTGTTTCTTATTATTAAGGTCTTCCGACTTCCTTCGGAAGACCTTATTGTTTTCCTTCTGTTTTTTATTATTATTATTCTTTTTTCATAGTACAGCCGATATCTCAGCTATGCGTGGACAAATTTCAAAGATTTTCTCAGGGAAGATGCATCATGAGAATATCTCCAGACGTGTTTTTGATTTTTTCAAAATTAACTTCTGTTTGTGATTTTTGGGGATTTTTGTATTTTTTAAAAGGCATTTTGTCCAGCAGTTTTCTCGAAAACGGTTAAAGATATGAAAGTGAAACTCACTGAGGTGATAGAACATCGAACTCCGTTCTGGGCAACGACCTTTATTTTTCGTCGTCGGCACTTCCTGTCGTAAACGGAAGTGAATTCAAAAAGTCACATTTCTCAACTTTTTTGTTTTTCAATATTTTTCTTTAGTATTTACAAGGTTTATAGTGTGTCGTATGAGAATTCTAAATATGTGTTTAGTATCTTGATGCGTACATATATTGAAAAGATATGACCGAACCAAACTTTGTCCCACTGTCGGGGGTTCGAATCCCGCTGTGGGCGTTGAATTTTTTTATCTTTGTTTCTGTCTTTTTTCAGTTGCAAATAACTTTTCTCTCTTTTTTAACATGTATGGAAGATTTTGCCGATTTTTAAAAGCTATTTTTGAGATATTTAGAGGAATACATGTAATAATCATGAGGTATGTTATGAGGCTGCTGTAAATGAACGTAAACGAACAAAAATACATTCTGAAATTTTATGGGATGACGTAGCATAGAATTCTAACGAAAATCGGTCGGAAGACCTGCTTGTTGCACCAGCAACAAGAACGCATCTAGTTATTATGTTCCCCAAACGAAGTTGGGGAACATATTGTTTTTACTCTGTTTCTTCTTATTATTATTTTTCTTCTTCTTCTTCTTCTTCTTCTTCCTGGGTACTTTTTTGTCCGGGAGTGATCTTGTAAACTACACATCCAACTTAGGTAAAACCTTTTTAGGGTCAGTAGACATGTTATGTAGATTTGTGGAACGAAGGTCATTTTGCGCGCACGTGCTTGCAAGAGCGTGCACGTGCAACACGAGAAATGACCGATTTAATTGATATAGGCTTAACTTTTTACATTTTCGATGAAATGCTTTGAAACTCATAATATAAGGATATATTCGTACCATAGACAATATGACATGGTCAAAATAGCAAGATCTCACGCGCATGCACGTGCGCTTTGCTCTGATTGGCTGAAACTAAAGTCTCAATATCTTTCTTGTTTTTTGACGAAATCCTTTGAAATTTTCAACATAGCCATGCAATGGGATATCCTACAACATGGTATATAGCAATTATCATGAAAACACGTGCATTCACGTGCGCTGCAATCTGAGTGGCTGAAACTTTAAATAGCTATAACTCCCTTGGTTTTCAACAAAACAGGATGGGATTTGGAACATAGATAGATATAATGGACTTCTACAAGAAGGTATGGTCAATATGCACATGCGTACACGTGCGTGTATGTGCGCTGCAATCTGATTGGCTGAAACTTTAAACAGCTATAACTCCCTTGGTTTTCAACCAAACGGGGTGGGATTTAGAACATAGATAGATGTAATGGACCTCTACAAGAAGGTATGGTCACCATGCTCATGTATGCACGTGCGTGCACGTGAAATGAGTAAAATCAAAAATACACAGTCACTTAAATGAGCGTATTTTTTAATACTTTTGGATTAAATACTTTAATATTGTTTAGACAAAATGATATGGTCATTACACACATGCATTCACATGCGCACGCGTGCATGCTCAAATTTAAATGAACTTGGTACACTTTTGGGTAAACGTTTTAAAGTCTCAAATGCATAGAGTTTGTCTTATTTAATGAAGCTTACAGGGAATATGGCACCAAAAGGGTGTTGGGGAGCGTTTGGGGAACATCTGTAACGGTCCCCGTTACAATTAGCACTAGTTATTATTATTTTTCTTCTTCCTGGGAAAATTTTGTCCACGAGTGATCTTGTAAACTACACATCCGACTTAGGTGAAACCTTTTTAGGGTTAGTAGGCATGTTATGTAGAGTTGCCAAACAAAGGTCATTTTGCGCGCACGTGCTTGCAAGAGCGCGCACGTGCAATAGGTGAAATTACCAATATAATGGATATTGCCATAACTTTTCTATTTTTTGATGAAATTTTTTGAAACTCATAATGTAAGGATACATTAGTAGTATAAACAAGATAGCATGGTCAAAATAGCAAGATCTCACGCGCATGCACGTGCGCTTCGCTCTGATTGGCTGAAACTAAAGTCTTAATAACTTTCTTGTTTCTTGTCATAATCCTTTGAAATTTTGAACATAGTCCTACATTATGAAGATCTACCGCATGATATATAAGAATATATAAGAATTTTCATGAAAGCATGCGCATGTGCGCGTGCTGCAAGCTGATTGGCTGAAACTTTAAATGGCAATATCTCCTTTGTTTTTTGACGAAATTCTTTGAAATTTAAAATATAGTCATGCATTAGGATATCCTACGAAATGATATAGAAAAAAAATCATGAAATCACGCGCATGCACGTGTGCTGCAATCTGATTGGCTGTGAAACTTTAAATGGCTATTTCTCCTTTGTTTTTTGACGAAATTCTTTGAAATTTAAAATATAGTCATGCATTAGGATATCCTACGAAATGATATAGAAAAAAATCATGAAATCACGGGCATGCACGTGTGCTGCAATCTGATTGGCTGAAACTTTAAATTGCTATTTCTCCTTTGTTTTTTGACGAAATTTTTTGAAATTTAAAATATAGTCATGCATTAGGATATCCTACAAAATGATATAAAAAAACCATTAAATTACGTGCATGCACGTGTGCTGCAATCTGATTAGCTGAAACTTTAAATGGCTATAACTCCCTTGTTTTTCAACCAAACAGGATGGGATTTAGAACATAGATAGATGTAAAGGACTCCTACAAGAAGGTATGATCATCATGCACGTGCACGCACGTGCGTGCATTTGAAATGAGTATATTCAAAAATACTCTTGAATGAGTGATTTTTATTACTTTTGGACTGAATGCTTTAAAATATATTATATATTAAAATATATAAATAGTGTAGACAAGATGATATGGTCATAACGCACATGCATTCACATGCGCTTGGGTGCAATGCTAAAAATTGAATATAATTGGTATCCTTCTGGGAAAACGTTGTAAAAGTCAAAAATGCACAGAGTTTGTCTTATTTAATGAAGCTTACAGGGAAAATGGCACCGAAAGGGAGTTGGGGAGCGTTTGGGGAACATCTGTAACGGTTCCCGTTACAATTAGCACTAGTTAAATTTTATCTGTCTTGATTGTTCAAGGATAGGAGTATTTTCAGCTCGTTTGCAAATCTTGCCCGTAAACTAGGTTTAAAGAGTATAGATACATATATATAAATACATACTTTCAATTCATTAGTTATCATGGCTATTTTAAATATCTCTGAATAATGAAAAAAAATCTTAAAGGTACTTGGACACAGATTTGAAGTTAATATTTTCTCATTTTTTCTGTATAATATCACGAATTATATATTTTAATAGCATTTCACACAAAAATTAATTAAAAATCTTATTTCAAATAATAACTTCAAATCTGTGTCCAAGTACCTTTAACGTGCAGTTTGCTTCAGATTTTAGTGATATTTGGTATATTTTGAGAGAGAAAAAAACTGGATGCATATTTATTTTAGATACAAAACCTAAAACTTCCTTGTAATCTAATTAATTCTCTCCAAATCCAATGTATAAAAAAATATTTGTGCTAAAATTGCTAGTGTATGAGTTAGGTAGCTAATAAAGAAAACATAATTATTAGCAGATTACTGGCGCATTCACTTAAAGAAAACAAAGACCATGCGTGATTTCGCCACCTTAACCCTGGTCTGCTGCCTGATTTCAATCAGTGTCATCAAACACGGTAAGACAGATTACAGTCTATAAGCAATTAACATTTGTAAAACAAAACAAAAAATCAGTGATGTTGTATTGTTTTTGAAAGTTGGGGAAGGCAACCTGCTGAAAAAGGGGCAACTTATGTGAAAGAAACTAACAAAAACGACATTATTGTGCAAACACAAATATCCTACTTCAGGGTTTGGGAGTTTTAATGAAAAATATGGAAATAACAAACCGTATGCAAGTCCATTTAACAATTCAAAATTGGAGCAGAGCAAGTACAGACCTACAAAACATCAGAGGTCAGTTCAGGTGCCATGGAGGAGTGAACATCTTCAGACCGGTCACACACGCATAATGCATGATTTAACTTGCTTCGACTTATATTAGACGGTTTGGGACCCGCCTATAATGAATATTCTCTACATCTATAACAAAAGTTGTCACTCGGTAAATTGTAATTTAAAACCTGACATATAGTTAAATGTAAGGTAGCAAAAAGATAGGAGCAAGCCTGAGACAATCGATTTTTATAATGTTTGTTCAAAACAAGGAAGAAATGACAATATGCACGTAGGAATTTTTAGCTCTACTGGACAGAGACCGGAAGAGCTTAAGCGATAGTAAGGTGTCTGTCTAGCTGTCTGTTCGTTTTACTGAAAACAATTTTTCAAAAATACTACTCCTCCTACATTTTTGCTGCCTGATGCAAAGTTTTAAATCCAAGTGCTACTTTTCTTCTCGTTATACGACGTACAGACCAGTAGAGCTACAGTCTCATCAGAGACTTCTGGTAACCTTACTGCTGCAGGAATAATTCAGTTATGTCTCTGTTTTGTTCAGCTGGGGCGCAAAGCTGCAGCCAACTAACGACTTGTACCTCTGCCTTAACAACTGCAATAGGAGGAGCTGGCCAAGACATAAGCAAATTATGCAGGTAGATAATTTTATTTTTAAAATCATTAACTAAACAAGACGTGTTTGTGAAACACTGATGCCCCTGTATGGCAGCTCATGGCGAGGATTAAATTTTCTAAACTGTATCTTGCCAAAATACAAAGGTCAACGTCCCAGTTAGGGTCACATGATCAAATTATCTGTACCAATAGAAAGGTCTTGTTATAATGAACACTCAATAATTTAAATTCGCCTTAATCCAAGGATGCTTTGCACCAAGTTTGGTTAAAATTGGCCCAGTGGATCTTGAGAAGTTGAAAATGTGAAAAGTTTACAGACGGACGAACAGACAGACAGACAGACGGACGGACAACGGGTGATCAGAAAAGTTCACTTGAGCTATCAGCTCAGGTGAGCTAAAAACTGTAAAGTTTGTTTATGCTTGAAACATCTTCCCTTCTTGAACAATCGTAATAAATCTAAATATTATTTGTCACTTGAAATACAAAAACTGTAAAATTTAATTAAAAATGTGGCCTGTTAAACTAATTCAGTTTACTTATAATATTTAAACATGGATAAAATAATCATACCAGTGCTACAAAAGGGAAGGGTTTATTGTTTTACCCTTGTGCGTCTGTTTGAGTCAATGTGTCTATCTGAAACAAATTTTCTTCGCAATTTTCTCAGCAACAACTCATTGCCAATACTTAGAATCAGAAATTTTAGCATCCTTTGTTATATGGTATTTTTTTGTACGACTCTGATGTCGAATTTATGTTTATTAGTGCGTATGTCCGTACCAAATTTCAGTCGCAGCTTTGAAATGTGTCAGTATAATATTCGCTGTAAACGTTGGTGTTTCCTAAATACTCCTTTTTCTCTACCTTCACGACACTTTAATTCTGCTAAAAAAATCCTATGCATGTATGTAGTTGTTTTATTTTTTATAAAATATTTGTTTCTCTAATGCAGTGCGTATAACACTTACCTGGATTGTTTGAATAAGGCTGCATCGGCCTGTGGTGTGGATATCAGCGCTACTGTACAAACAGCCAAAACCTCCTTGTCGCAGTACGGATGTAAGTAATGAAAAACTATCTCTTTATAATACCCAACATCCTTTCAGTTACATTTGATGGAGCTTTTTATGTTGCTTCAAAGACGGGTAAAACTCAGATTCATTAAATCATTAAGGAAATAATTGTTTACAATGAAAAAATGTAAACATATTTAAGGGTAAATTGTATGAATCCGACGAAACAAAATAAATTTATTTCATGATAATGTAATTAGTAGTTTATTTTTTGCATTATTTCCGTAAATACTCTACACTTTTGACAGGATACAGGTATATATTTGATTATTGCTATCACAAAAAAACACTATAAAAACCATCGATTATAATTTTGTTGTTCTACTTTTTACAGACCTGTTTACTCTTACGATTTCGCCGTATTTTTTACGGATTTTTAGTCTAAAATACGTCTCACGTTTTGCCATTATGAAAATACGGGAATCAGAAATAAGTTAGTTTGAAATTTAACAGTTAGTTTTCGTTATGATCTGATGTAGATTTAATCTATTTATCGCTAAATAAGAGAAAGATTTCAAAACACATAAGCGATGTCAGGTTACCAAAACGCTGTGGTATTATTAAATGACAAAGACCTTGTTGTTAAACCATGTTTTTGTAATCAGAAAAGCAGTTTTTCTATTTTAATATATGTAAAATTGATGGAAAATGAAATCTTACTGGCAATTGCCAAATCTCACGGACAAATCTAAAGTAAAATACTGAGAGACAACGTTATGGGTAAACAGGTCTGTTTTTATCAGGTTCCACTTCTTGAGGTGGTTCCACTCCAGGCGCTAGTTCCAGTTCCACTCCAGGCAGTAGTTCCACTCAAGGAGGTAGTTCCACATCCGGTGGTGGTTCCATGATGACGCTCCTCAGCTGGCTGTCTTTAACACTCGGAGTTTTCCTTCAACAACTCTTTTGAAAAAATTAGTCCAAGCATTTGAAAAAAAAACGTATAAAAGATTACACCAAACATAAGATTTCCACGTTTTTTTTGGATTCAGTAAAATTTACTATTTCAATTTATTTAAAACACAAACAAAATAATTTTTTTCCCATGAACTTTTACTTAAATATGATTGCTGTTTATCTTTAATGATTATATATTTATCTCATTTTTTCTCGATATATACTGTTATTGTAGTCACTAAAAATATCTTTCTAGAAAATGAATTATTTAGTTATTATATTTCTTCTTCTTTATTCTTTATTGTGCGAAGACAAAGATTTAATCTTTTTTCTTTAAATTTTATCGGCGATCATGTTGTTCTCAGACCTGTTTACCAGTATTATTGTCAATTTTAGTTTGACTTGTCAGTAAGATTTGGCATTTGTCAGTCAGACGTAAAGCTGAACACGACTCGCAAATGGGCATACGCCATTTTCGATAGCATTATTTACGATACTTCAACACTAGGGTATACTCGTCGCATTCGTTACACCTAACTGCTTAATTGTCACGAGTATCGGCGTGGAATGGCGACCCGTGTTCGTGCTGGTTATCTTGCATAACCTTTGCTTACAAACTATTGCAGTTATGTGTATGTGTGTTGTGTGTATACTGTACTGACCTGTACAACTATAATTGTAAACTTATTTGGTACTGTAAATCACTTTTTATTCGCGAGAACTTTATTTTCGCGTAATTACGCGAGACAGTGTGCTCGCGAAAATTAAATTCTCGCGTATAAAAGTATTCCTTAACATTATATAAAACAATAACCACAATGCGTGAAAGTTTTGTCTCGCTAATCAAGAGTCAATGACTATCTCGCGAAAATAAGGTGTCGCGAAAATTTAGTGATCTACAGTATCTTATTTTCCTGCATTAGACGAAGTATTACGTTATTATTGTTGCTACCGAGTCCTGTACATCATACGTCCGTCTACACCGGTGTCGACTGATTACAATGAACAGTGACTAAGTCCTTGCCTTTATATACGGGTTTCCAGAGTGGCGAGAATCGGGAGCAAAAATGGCAGACACATTCCATTTACGAATCGTGTTCGGCTTTAACTTTCCATTTTACACAAGTTAAACAAAGATTACTAAATAACAAATACATTTTCTGATTAGCATTCATTTCAAACATTTTTAAAACCAATGTTTATCACTTATATATTTGATTGAGTGCTCAACTCCCTCTCATGAATTATTAACTCATATGGAGACTCCACCACTTGCTGGTGTAGAGCTACAAATTTTGTCCTGATTTCGGCACTTGCGGCCATTAAGCAGAGGGGATCTTTTTGGTATTGGTCAGCACCTACTGCAACACGGGTTTATATGGTCTCATTCGAACGGCTCCGCTCCGCCCATTCTTCATTACAAAGATTTCTATTACAATGTTATATGATCTTTCTGTCTTAGGACAGAACCACAGCCAGTCAAATGTAAAAAAAAGATAATAAACACCTCCAACGGTTGTATAATATCATGTCTAAATTGACTGATCAGTGTATATAATATATCGAACACACAATAAATATCGAACATGCGCGATTTCAGAATGAACTTTTACCCATTCAGGTTAGCATAGAATTATAGTAAATTTAAAGGGATACCTGTATATTGAAGATATTTAAAGCTGAACACGATTCGTAAAAGGAATCTGTCCGCCATTTTTGTTCCCGATTCTCGCTACTCTGCAAACCCGTATATAAAGGGCGCAGGACTTAGACACTGTTTAGCGTAATCAGTCGACACCGGTGTAGACGGACGTATGCTATACAGGACTCGGTAGCGAGAATAATAACGTAATACTTCGTCTAATGCAGCAAAGTAAGATACCAAATAAATTTACAATTATAGTTGTACAGTTCAGTGCAGTATACAAACAACACAGATACACATAACTGCAATAAAATGTAAACAAAGGTAATGCAAGATAACCAGCACGAACTCGGGTCGCCATTCCACGCCGATGCCCGTGACAATAAAGCAGTCAGGTGTAACGAATGCGACGAGTATACCCTAGAGTTGATGTATTGTAGATATGATATCAAAAATGGCGTATGCCTATTTACGAGTCGTGTTCAGCTTT